TGTTTCCTGCTGTAGCAGTCGAAAGCAGACGAATTCAAGGCAAACCTCCCATAATTAGATTCTACAACTGAAAAAGTATAACATATTTATAAATTTTCCATATATTGAATCTAATTATCGGGGGATCATCTTTCATTCAGGGTCATCTTATATTTGAGTAAATACGGTACATATGAAAAGACTGGAAACATCTAATCTAACAATAAGTTATATCCAATCTCTCTCTTCTTTATGCAGCAGTAAATGGCTTGCATGAGAAGATCCGGAAAGAATGCTGATATGAGCTGTTCCAAATGAGAATGATGCAACAGCCTCTGGGGATATTTTTGGTCTCTATTGGTCCCACTTTGATAGTGCCCTAACAGCAACCTCTCCATCAGCTCTGCCAGTCACTGTGACAACAGTGCTGCTCATGACTATGCCCAGACTAGGAATCTCAAGTCTTTCCTTACCTCAGTTTCTCTCAGTCTGGCTTCTAGAGCAGACCGAGGTCCCTTGGTGTTGTCATTAATCTGCAATTTTTCCTGGATGGCCTTCATCCAAGCTTCTGCATTCTCCACGCTACTGTCAAATTCATCCTGTGGTGGCTGAGTCATTGCATTTGAAGGAACTGGAAGTATAAGAAATGAGGAATTAGAAAACAGTTTTCCTCTCAAGTACGTGACTTACGATCTTAGGGAGTGTGGAAGAAAGATCAAAGTTATTAGCCTCTTTGGGCATATGCCCACGAGCATGTCTGTGCATCTCCTGCTGGACAAATAGCAGCAGAACATATTTATGCCACTGCTATTTGTCCCCAGGTATGCCCCTGCATGTGCACTCTGGCATGAGGCAAATTGCCCCACGTGGGGTAAGAGAGGCTGGGGTCACCAGCTGGGCTGGCCCCAGCAGCCTTACGTGGGGGCCTGGGGTCCTCCCGAGGCAGCACCAGTGCCAATCTGGCCACTCAGAGACTGGCTGGAAACCACAGCATGGCTCTGGCCGGCCAGGCTGCAGTTTCTAGTGGCGCATACTGCTGCTGTCTGCAACCACTGTTTTTTTAGCAGCAGGGATTTTTTTTGGACCCCAGATCTCCCAGTGTCAAAACCTCCCTGCTGCACTGCAAATTAGCAACACAGTGAAGTCTGCAGCACCAGAAACTGCATACGCGTGTTCATGGGGATACGCCCTTTTTGATTAATGGCATCAAGCCACTCACCACATAATAGTCCTTAATTGCTAAATAAGATTCAACAGAGTATGAAAGAAAAACTCCAATTCAAAGCTTCCAAAATGAGAAAATATGAGGGAAAATATAGGTGGGGAGCTCTGTCAAGCTCCATATTTGGGTTGATATTCAAAGGGGTAGCAGACACTGCATTTAATTTTAAAGCCTTTAAAATAGGCTAATTTGGTGTTTACGAGATACTGGCTGCCTTAGGTGCTAATATTATTTGCATTTTTACAGAACATGCACAATACAGGCATTGGGAATGCAATCTCCCTCATTGCATCTCTCCTTAGGCCTGTTTAGGACTTGGTGCTATAAGGTAGTGACCACTCAAGCATATGCTCAACTTGCAAACATGTGGCTAGTCCCTGCTAAGGTTGCCCTGAATGCTCGGAGCTTTGAACCTAATCCACTTTCTTGCTTGCTTCTAAAGAAGTTGCCTGTCAGAGCTCTTGTGGGGGTGATTTTATGATATGGACACCACTTCTGCTGGGACCCAAACCATTTATCATTCTTTTCTTTTAACTCATCCCACCCTAACTAACCCCCTCTCCTCCCCACTCAGACACACACATAAATTATGGAAATAATCTGAAGTTAGCTCCCCTCTCATTTTTACCCTGCTTATATGTTGCATTTCTTCCCCCATTATGCATCTATCCTGACTGTCTACTACTCTGTTTGTACAGTGCCTGTCACAACAGGGGCCCAGTCTTGGCTGGTTGTCAGGCACTACCATAATAAACGTGACTAATAATAATGAGGAAAGACTGTATGATTCAGTGAGCCAAAGTCAACAGGAGCCCATTGATGTCAATTGGTTTTGCATCAGACCTTTCACCTACTGCTATCCTTGGTAGCCATTCATCCAGTTTCTCTCTATTTAAATGTCATTATTATTTGTCATCTACAACTGGATTATTATTTTAATATGAGCTACAGATCAACACCAAAGTCTGATTTTGCCACTCTGACCCTGCTGGAGTAGCACTTCTCTCATGTAGAAAGGTGCAGCTCAACATAGTGAAGGGGAGGCAGAGTTTGGGCAAAGTTGAATTGCACAGGGAGAAAGTGACTTGTTCTTGCTGAGCCACACAGAAAACTTTTCTGTCTCCTGATGATGTTTCTCTCAGTAGCATCGGCAAAATGCTCACGTTTCACTCACTCCCCCCTATAATTCCCAATTTCCCTTCCTGCCTTCACGTTCTAGACTAAATTGGGGAAATGCACCTAAACTCATACAGTACTAATACCTGGCAATACAGGAATTTAAACCTGCTGTTCCTCAGGATTCAGCAAGTCATGGAGCCACCAGGTCCCACCCAGTACAGCATGAGAGAACAGCTTACATGCCCGCAGTTCATGTCACTCCCACTACGGCTGTGCAAAGAAAGCTTTGGCAGCCAATTTAATTCGGAGGAGATTCGGCCCGATTTGGCAGCCAAATCTGAATTGAATCAGGAGACCCATTACAAGGTCCAAATTGATTTGGAAGCCTCTGAATCAATTCAGAGAGATTCGGTGCCCATTCGGAGATTTGGACATAGACTATACAGGCAGCAGTCCTTGACAACACTGGACACAGTTGTCTCCAGCTGGTAAATCTGTTGTGGTGGGCAGAGGGAAGGAGTGTGGGGGGGCAGATCAATGCCCCCACAGAGAGGGAGGGATTGGGGTTGGGACAAGCTGCCCAGCCAGGGTGGGGAGGCATAGGACTCGGGGAGGGGGGCTGCACCTCCGGTCCAGGAGCTGCTCTTCTGGTGACTCCCATGTCCAGGAGGGCACGGGAGCAGGCGTATGCCCCTGGATCTGCGTGGGGCAGGCGGGGCTGGGCTGCACTCTGGAAAGCTAGCCCCAGCTGCCCACAGGACAGGTGGAGCCAGGACTGCACTCCGGGCAGCTGGCCCCAGCCGCAATCTGTAGTGCAGCTCTGGCTCTGTCCACCCCGCAGAGTGCAGCCCAGCAGTGGGGGTTTCCTGCCCAGAGCACAGCCCTGGCTCCGTTTACCCCACACAGCACAGTGGAGCAGAGGCTATGGGGGTGCTGCAGCCACCCTAATGTTCCCCATAGCCCCTGGTGCTGGCCCTGCCCCAATCCGGGTGCACGTGCCTGCCCCCATGCCCTGCTGCTGCTCGCCCAGCTGGAGTGGGGTGGGGTGAAGCTGTGGCTTGTCAGGGAGGCACAGGGAGGCTGGAGTGGCTTCCGCCGCTGCGTGCCGCTTGTCCAAGGCAGCTCAGTGGCACTGTTCTGCACCTCCCCACCGCAGCTGGACGAGCGGCAGAACATAGCTCCCACTCCCAGTGCCTTCAACCACCCAGCCAGAGTGCAGCCTGGCCCAGCCCACCCCACGCAGATCCAGGGGCACACGCCACTCCCATGCCCTTCTGGACCGGCAGTAAGAGCCACCGGAGAAGCCACCACAAAAGCAGCCCCTGGACTGGCCGTGTGCAGTGGCGTGCAGTGGCAGAAGCCTCCCTCCCGGGTTGGGCAGCTTGTCCCAGCCCCAATCCTCTCTTGCTGTGGGGGCGTTGACCTGCCCCCCCCCAATGCCTCTTCCCTCCCTGCTCCACCCACCACAACAGACTTACCAGCTAGAGGCAGCTGTGTCCAGTGTTGTTGAGGACTGCTGCTGTATAGTCTATGGATGAATCTCTGAATCGGGGACGAATTTCTGGATCTAAATTGGCCAAATCAAATTGGGACAGTGACTCAAATCACCAAATCAAATCACTGTCCCTCCAAATCAGCCAAATCCAAATCCAAAGCAAATACTTGCTGTTTCACATCAGCCTAACTCCCACATAGCTGAGCAGAGACAGTGATGAATGGGCATTGCTTTGGCTCCATTCCTGATGCACAGGCCAGTGTCACTGCACTTAAGTAGAACAGAGAAATAATCCGTCAGTGGCATAGATCAAAAGGAACAAGACTGAGAACTGTGACTCCCTGAGATGCCTCTTACATCAAGCAAGTTGCAAATGCACAAAGCACCTAGCCTAAGGAATGCAACATGATTCACTGGCACAGAGTCACCCTCCCTGACCCTGATTCTGTAACTGAGAAACATAAATGTCTATGGTAACTATGGCTGATCTGTTGGATGGACTTTTCTGAACAGTGACATTCATTTTGTCTACAAGGTTTCTGTTCTTAGACACAGCCCTATCAGAGTTGAAGCTGGCATCAGGTCTCCAGTCTTTAGGCCAGAAGGCACCATTGCAATAATCTAGTTCAATGTTTCACAATCCACCTCCATGAGGGTTGTGACCCATCTGTTAAGGAAGACAATGCAGGAGGAGGTAGTGAGACAGCAAAATGCATTATGATTTAAGGCAGAGGAATAGCTGTTGATTTTACTTTTGATCTGACTATACTTTTGACCTGTATTTACAAGTCTTTGCAAATGACCTAAAGGCCAGACTAAGTGATTTTGGGGTTCATATTTACCATAAATTAAAATATATAAAGCCTTCCTGGTAAGTCACTATCTGAAGGACTGAGTAACATTTCTGGTGATTCAGCATTTAATAAACCCACACACAACAGGGTGTGTTGATTCAATACACTCAGATCTTAAGCCATGTCTTCAACACACCCAAGTGGTAAAAGTACTAATTACTGCAATTATAATATGGCTTATTAGAAGTCAGAATTTCATTTTTAATTAAAAATAAAATTTCTTCATTGGTCCAAGAAAACAAAACCGTCTCCCCTGGTGCTGTGATGATATGGTGCAGTGCTCAGGCAGAAGCTTTTGTTCCAAAATCAACTGTAAAATGCCATGGCCTTGTGTAAACAAGAGGAAACGCCCGAGGGAAACATGCTCTTGTGGCAGAGCTGCTAGACTGGGACTCCAGTGATCTGGGTCCAATCCCTAGCTCTGCCATACATTGCCTGTGCCATTTTGGGTTAATCAGTTAACCTCTCAGTGTCGCCACTTCTCATCTGTACAATGGGTGTACAAATGCCCCCTGTTGCCCACGCTTTGTCTAAACTGTAAGCACCTTGGGGCTTAGTTTGCAGAAGCCCTCATCTCAGCTCTGGGCCTGTCTATACAGCTGTAGTGATAGGTCCTGGTACTGGGGGAGGGTGGGGAACGGGAAAGTTTGAGCACACCCTGCCTTCCCAAGCTGCAGACATGCTCTAGACCAGCTACCCTTAAACCTCAGTCTTCAGTGCACCTAAGCCCAGACCAGCTTCACTGGCAAACTTCTGGGTCTGCAAAGTGCCTAGGGACTAGGATGGGCAGTGTGCTCAGTGCTGCCCTCCCCCTGCCTGAAGTGCTGCACCAGTATAGACAAGTCCTAAGCGTTAAGTGTTTACTACTTATCAGTGGTAATATGTGTTTACCGATAATATGGGTCCTACCCCTTTTCTGTTAAGCTATCATTTAACTACAC